GAGGACTAGCCAGCAGACTAAGATAGTAGACTAGAGGACTAGCCAGCAGACTAAGATAGTAGACTAGAGGACTAGCCAGCAGACTAAGATAGTAGACTAGAGGACTAGCCAGCAGACTAAGATAGTAGACTAGAGGACTAGCCAGCAGACTAAGATAGTAGACTAGAGGACTAGCCAGCAGACTAAGATAGTAGACTAGAGGACTAGCCAGCAGACTAAGATAGTAGACTAGAGGACTAGCCAGCAGACTAAGATAGTAGACTAGAGGACTAGCCAGCAGACTAAGATAGTANTAAACCTAACCCTAACCCTAACCCCCTAACCCCCTAACCCTAACCCTAACCCAAACCCTAAACCCTAACCCTAACCCCCACCAGGTATAGCTATATTATGGCCCAAGTACTATCAAAACCAAAAAGTACAGAAATTCCGAAACTTACTTGTAAAGTTAAAGTACCAGACATCGCTTCCAATGATATTCCTTTACTTTGGTCATAATCAGTAAGATGACGCGTACACCCTTGAAGATCTCCTGGCCTCAGTTTCAACAACCGGCGTAAATCCAGCGCAAAACTCTGCGTCCGAGAAAGGCCAGTATCACCAAACTGCAATAGTGTTTACGTCGGTCTAAACTTTGTCGTAAATTTACGCCTGCCACGTAGGTGGTGTTTGTCGGTCGTAGCGCGTTTTTTACTATGTCTAGGCTGACACAGAGAGTGTTTGATGATAATTATCGTAGTTTAACGTAGAATGTGGGTTGTGATTTGTTTATTTCTCCCACAAAGCTTCTGTCTGTGTAACTGATCAGTGGCTTCTTTTTTAAAACATATATATAGATATATTACCAACATGAGCTCATAATTTCCTATATATATATATATTGCAATAAAGTGATTACTTATTATTCATGTAGCCTTCTTACCGTAAATTATTATAAATTTAATGTTCGTTGAAATAAGATGAGGAAATTGTGAGCTGATGTTGGTAATGTTAACACATGTTTATTTAAAATCCATATATATGGTAAGAGTATGTAGCCATTTTTATGCGTATGTGTATTTATTCAATTTAAATCTTATCACACATGTCGGTAAGTCTTGGCTCTCAATAGTTAGATTTCTTTATTTATTTTTTCAGTTCACTAACCATAGCTCACCGCAGTCATTTTTTCTTCACGTTTTATGTTATTCATATTTTACGATATATGAAGATACTGTAGAGACGCCAGCTTAGAATATCCACATTTTAAGGCTCATATTATATGTATTAGGGTTTTTGTATTTCTTAAACTACAAGATGTAAGCTCGCTTAATTTAAATGACATCACATGGTGTAACTATCAATAAGTAGGTCATGAAATTGTTGACACTGTTGTAATGTTATAAAAAAAATCAAACAATGTTGGAGTTAAAGGTGCAATTTGGCATTACTTTCGGGCTCAAAAGTTTGAATAACAAACATGAAAGTGTTCAAATCCATTAATTGGAATACGTACTGCCTCCAACTCGTTTTCCCCATTTTCAAAAGGCATCAATCAATCAAAGATTTTAAAATTTTAACATACTAGAATTATATTTTGATTCAGAACACATTTCCGGTTTTAGTGCTATATTTCCAAGCAACAACGAAGTAAACATATTTTAACGTTGAATTTCTAAATGAAAATGGAATAACGTAGCTTCTGAATTTCTTCGTCACTGAAATGTTCATTTTGTGTTTAATGATGTCGTCATCCTATTATGACTGCAGCTGCGAACTCCTCATTGTCCAATTATACCATCCACGCTGGGCAGTGGTGTAACGAAGCATTACTCGGGCGAAGTTAAGACGATCAATTTTTGTCTTGGTGCAACGGACTTAATCAGGGAGAGTAAAGGGCAGAAACCAACTAATAATTTCCCCCTGGAGGCCATACTAAAACTGCCTGCAAAACTGCATGACTAAAATAACTGGGTGAAACATTTCCCATCCCATGGACAGCAGACACACTGATATAACTCCCATGGCACAAAAATATACTGTCATCAGCCTACCTGTCTTACCGGCATTACTTGAACATGTGCACCCCTCTGTTTGTAAACAAACCACTGCACCACTCACAGTCATTTGCTCCCTCCGCCAGAGGTCTCACGACAGCACCACAACTGTGCCTGGTCCTGAAAAAAACTGGCAGTAGTTTACACCCTAGCCTGCTAGTTGACATCAAAATTAACCCTAACGACACACAATAAATGTAAGGAAAAAAATGTCTCAACCAGGGGCACAGACGCCGGGCGTTACGGTTTAAGACAGTCGTATCCAAGTAAATTTACGCCCCCTTGGTGCAACCGGGCCCTGGGGTGCAAGTTCCTGAACGCCTCACCACTGAGAGATGAAACGAAATAACCAAGACACTAACTGTTTTATTATTCGTTTGAGTTCATGTGTTAATTAACTTGCATCTCATTCAAGTATTTCATCAATTTATTCATCCGTCCAAATATTTTAATAATAAATTTATGTTTTTCATGGTGAGATCTTTTATCATCTCAATGCTAATCTCTTGCAATATTTGTCGTTAACTGGATTTAAAAGTAGGAACTTATTCTGATCTTATTGTATAAACATTTCTAGAAAAAAAATCTGCACTACTATTTTGGTATAATTTCAGCCTTTTGGTTGCTATAACATCTTTATTCTTTTTGTCATTTTATAGCGTACATATATACTACCAATCAGCAACTCTAAATAAAGCACCGTCGACACGGTTTAAATCGTAGTATAATATAATCGATGGCGTTTATCCGGACAAATATATGCCTCTATCAGAATATTGCTAAAAAAAAAAAGACCGAGGGCGAAAGCTGGTTTCACTCACTCTTGTCACAGGGTTAATAAAATATTTTGCTGGAAAAAAAAAGAAATTTTGTCTAAATAGGAATAGACACACCTGGGGGTGGAGCCCCATTGCCGGTCTCAAGCCCAGAGAACAATGAGAGACTGCGTGTTACAGTCTCGTATAGATCTCGTTTTCCGGTTTTCTGGAAAAACGTGTCCTCCCTGTTGCTTCGTGGCGAGGTTGCAAATCAAAATACAGTCAGAAATTTATTAAAATGCGAGAAAAAAGAAGAACTTAGACCTCCTTGGGAGTCGGGCTTTAACTTACTGTCTACCAGCTTTTGTGGCCGTGTTTGTTCCTACAGTTTATTCAAACATCTTTTCAGACAAATTGTTAGGGTTAACTAGAAAAGTAAATTTATGGTTGGTAAATGAGCGAACATTAAGGTTGTTTATACTTTCTTGTTTACCTTTATAAAATCGTAATCGTGCGTATGCCTCGGTTTTAGAAGTTTACGCCGCGCTTATCATCTTTATAATGATAAAAATGACCAAGAAGAGTAGAAACTTTTACGTCTTTTGACTAGAAATATATGTCAGTATAATTCTTGTTGGTTTAAATGATTAAAATCAATTTCTTAACCGATCAGAGGGGTTTGAGCGACCAACATGGGACTCTACGCAACGCATAAGTATAAATCCATATGTTTTTAAAAAGATTGTTCTAAAAGCGTTCTGTCATCTATTTGACATGGAATAGGTGGCAGTGTAAAAGTGTTTGGTAAATATCACATGGATAAAGAAAGAACCAACAGCTGCATTCCTTTTGGAAATATAGCGATCAAAACTATGAAAGAAACCGAAATCTTAAATTAAGTGAGCTAAGGGACCGTTCACATGAAAAATCTATTGGCGGTATCCAGTGGTCACGGTCTGTGCCCTGAATACCCCGTTGCGTAATTAATTAGCAGAGAGAGCGAGTTACTTCCAAAGCTGTAATTAATTCTAGGCTGCGCTCGGAGGAGATTCTCTTACCTTGACGCATGCGCAGTAGGAAGTTAGAAAGTAAATGGCGGTCGCAGTTGCTTTGAAAACAAGCACTACCACTAGCCATATTACGCGTCTGTATGCTCGAGTCGTCACAACTAAACTGATTAACTCCACAGCTTAGAGATACTACTGCGCATGCGTCAAGGTATCAGAATCTCCTCCGAGCGCAGCCGAGAATTAATTACAACTTTGGAAGTAACTCGCTCGCGCTGCCAGTAATTACGCCGTGGGGCATTCAGTGCACAGACCGTGATCACAATATACCGCCAATAGATTTTTAGATTTTTAGAAAATAGATTTTTCATGTGAACGGCCCCTATGGGGCAGTTGAAAAGAAGATAATTTCGACTGATGATTAAACGAGCCTCGTGCAGATGCATTGCGACTCCATTAAAATTAATTTGCAAGTCTGTACAGGCCTTCGGTTTTTTTTTTTTTTTTTAAGAAAAAGAAAAATTATAGAGTATAATTTTTATTCAAATTTTATGTGCAATTTTAAACAGTAACATTCAATTTCAAAAGCACTTTGCAATCACTAATTAATTGCGTAAACGCAATGAATCAACGAATGGTAGTATTATTAAAAGATTTTCCATTTATGTCCCAATCATCTAACATCAAAACGCAAACAGTCCGTTAATGCTGGTCTTGTGGCCGGAAGCTGGTACCCGATGCCTGCGGGTCGTGGGCAATTACCCGTCTAAACGCTTCGTGGGGAATGCCGGGAAAGTGCCCACGCCCGGATACTTCAGCCTTTATAACATTATAACTCCAGCTTTGTTTTTATTGGCACTGGGCCTTAAAGTTTAAGAATATCGTCCGGTTTTAGACAACATGGTGCAAGTTTGTGAGTACAAACCATTCTCTATAGACACTATACTGGTACACATTATGAAGCACAAGAATTTACCAATTCCTACAGAAAAAGGTACTGAAGGCAATTAAGACGTATTTACTACAGTCTTAACATAATTAAACCAAGAAGTTCTGTTGTAACTCCTTGATTAAACCTAGACTAACTTCAACTTTATCTAAGGAGATGACGACAAAAATAAAGTGACTCAATCCTTTTACAAGTGAAAGTATCCATCAAAACTTTATTCAAGTTCCAAGTATAAAAATACATACACAGATTCAGGTTATATGACTACAACTCGAGCACCTCAATGGTTTAAACTAAACTTTGACATATAACTCAATTTAAAATAGAAGTTTCCCTGAAATCGCAACTACCTGTATGATACAAGTCAAGAATAAAGCAAGCTTGCTTTGAAATATTTCAGATCTCACATTTCACTGTATGACCGTCCATGTAAATTTCAATAGGAATTTTTTTATCCGGAGAACAGGGTGCATATTTAATGAATTGGATATATCTGTCAACTATAACACTTGAGAAAATCATAACATTAGTAATATAAGTAAATTGCGATCCTCTATCTTGAGAGATGACCGTGTGCACCCAGCCATCCCACACGAGGAGCAGACTGTGCAAAAACAATGAAATATTTTCTGCAACGTAAAATATTTCATTACAGATTTTGCACAAGCTATCAATGTAAAGCCTCTTCATGTAAAAGCATTTACATCAAGTCGGATTTTACAAATTTGTGAGGGTTGTTAGATATGGTTAATGTGCGAGTTATGATCTTCTCAAAAGCTATACTGACAAACAACTCCACATCATCAAAAGCACAAATTTGAAAAATAACTACATCACTAGGATTGAAATAAAACAGACGACCATAAGTGGTGGTAATGCCTATGTGGTAATGTTTTTGTGAGCGAAAATCTATCTGCATTTTGAATGTGGATAAATCATCTGGATATTCAATTTTATTTTTTAAAATATGACTATAGAGGCAGACTCAAAATTTTCACACAGAACCACAATTCATCCTATTCAACTGATCATTTATGGAATTATGAATGATCATCCCGAACTTCAGTTTCTCTTAAGCTATTGAAATAAAATGGTGCACTGTCTTAAGTGAAAAATTAAAACTTACTAAATGCAATTACACCAGACCCATATCTGTGTCCCATGAACCGCAAAAATTCTCAATATAGACTTGACTACATTATTAGATTGTATTCCTTTTACATTCAGAATATCGCTCTTCATTACCATTCCACATTCCTTAAAGTTTTTTCGCAGACAAACTGTCTTTAAAAACCAAGACTGCCAAGGACGACCGATCATCAATGGAAGTGGCAAAAGGGGCTCGTTGTTAGCGCCATTAAGTGTTTCACATCTTGGACATTTGGGCTAGGATTGTTGGTGTCTGCGTTCGGGCATCATTTCTGGAAAACTGCACCTCCGTGGCCTACAAATGAAATGTAATGTGTTCACACAAAGTATGAAAAGCTTGCAGTAATTGCAACAGAAAACATGAATGTCACTGGTATTTACACACCGTTAACACTTCGGTATTTTGGCGTTTCAGAAGATTTTTTTCTTAACATGATCAGAGCAGAGTTTAAACGCGCTTCTTTTATTTAAAAAGTGTGAATTTTTAGACTAAATAGCAGCTTTCAAAAATTTCATTTAAAAAAGTTTAATAAAAAAAAGGAAAGAAAAAATGTTGCTCTAGTGAACACGTACCATAAAATAATAAACTAATAGTTTATTTATGTTTGTTATGTTACATGGTAACCGTGTTGGCCGTCTATGCTACTTCTTATTCTACTGTTTGCACACATAGTATAGGATAGGAAAATATAAATGAATAATTTAACAGTTTAATTTAGACACTTAGCTATCGGTGAAAACAAGTTGAAGAATGTGATGAGCACGTTTTGCTCTAAGATTTATTCTGCGAGTTGAGTAGAATATTGTTTCCGATCATCGTCTTTATAAGAAACGAAATAATACACAAAGAATTCTATTTTATTTTATCCTACTTCCAAAACACAAGAAAAACACATGATTTAGGAGAGTGCTAAGATTCTACAAAAAGCATGACTTGTGAATAGGAGGAATAAAGGAAGATATGAAAGTTTGGCCGATAGCATGTAAAAATATTTTGCATGAGTGATTTTTTTTTGCAAGTTTGTGACAAATTAAAAGATCCACTAAAATTATTATTATTATTATTATTATTATTGCATAGTTTTTTAATGTTTGTGACAAATTAAAAAATGTCTGCTATATGAATTTCCTTGAGTAAATTGTAAATAGAAAACAAATGTCTACATTTAGTGACTAGACAACAGTTTCCAAACAGTAATTTACAGCAATTTTGTCCAAGGCCTTGCACAAAATGTCCAGTTTGTTGAATTTGCATCGACAAAAGATTTAGAATTTTCAGAAAATGAATGATAATTTAGTTCATTGTTCACCCCTACCCTGGCCAATAACTTACCTCGAAGGGCCTTAATCCCAATGGTATCACAGCTAGGCAAGGACTCTTGAAATCCCATATGTTGATATCGCTTTCTCCATTTTTACCTCGTGAAAGTGGACCATCATCAGGCCAGGCGCTCGCCAATGCTATCTGTCTCACCTTCAACACAGAAATTTAGAAGACATTAGTTTCCCTCTTTACCTCTTCCCCCCCACCAACCCACTAACCTTATAAAGTGGGTCACGGGAAATGTACACTGCCTTGTGAAGTTCAGCTGTAAAATTTATGTGGCTAAGGGCTTTATCTCAAAAGTTAAGTAAGGTAAGAAAGATGCCCTTAGTGTATTATTCTCCCCAATAACATGATTTACCTTTTACGGCTTGGAAGGTTTCCATTTCAGTGAAACACCGCATGCTTCTTATGTTCCCCCAGGCAGCCATCTTATAAAGACCATGGCAGGAATCACCACCCAAGGATTGATTGAAAGGATTACATTTGCCACTCGTTTTGCACTTCTTACGAAAAGTGGGACCTCTATCAGGCTTTGCTATAATCCAATCCTGTTAATATAAAGGAAACATAGCATTAGCTTTTGCCTTTACCTCCCCCCTCCCAAATGTACAGACTCTGAAAAGTGGTTTATCCCAAAAGTGTGGTGAATGGACGAGTGAAATAATTGTTGTTATGACAGTAGACTGTTTCATAACAGTGCATGGCTAAGAGCTCTTTAATACTATCTACCAGAACTTTGAAATGAAAATGAGATTGGTTGTCAAGGATAGAAGTAATTCGTTTAGAGTGACAGTGGGCTGCCTCATGAAAGTGTCTCGGGCTTCAAACTTATCAACCTCATTCACCTCAAAATATAAATAAACTTTTTAGCATAAATAAAAGTTTTTAAAAGAATTATGCTTGTTTTCTATCAATCTGACTTTACAGTTATAACTCTGGACTGCTCCAATTTTATCCATTATAGACTAGCTTTGATTTCTTTTATGAAGCGCATATCTGCAGCAATGAGTACTGTACCTGTGACATGACGGCTTCACCAATCAGTGAGAAGTAGGCCTTCAAGTCGGCGTCTCTTCCAAGGCAAACCCAGCACTATCAGGTCACCGACTTCTTGCTGTCCAGCAGCTTTGTTTTCACGTTGGAATTTTCCAGGATCTCATCTCCTTTTCTTTTGTTCTCTAAAACGGTAACACTTGTTTATTGAATTACCAAGTCTTTTTATCAATATCTCCATTTCTGTGCAATCAATGACTGTGACATACCAATGATTGCCTGGACAAATAGATTTTTCACAGTGTGTGAATTTAGTGTTGTAACCATTAGATTTTTTCATAAGTTTTCAAAAGAACTTTTGATTTTATTCAAGTTTTAATGTATCTGTTACTTCATGTTTCTAAAAATATGTCAAAGTGTTGTTAATAATAATAATAATAATAATAATAATAAAATGCAAGTCCAGTTTTATTGAAGTTTGTATTCGGACCACTGGATCCTGATTCAGACCAGAAGACTCTAGGAAAGTTGAAGACCGAATGCCCAGTAAAGTGAAAAACTTATGGGGCAGACCGCAAATGAAAAATATTTTAGTCTATTTCTCTCGCCAATAACACGGGTTACCTCTGAGGGTTTTCCATCTCATTGAAACACCATATACCTTGGACGCTTCCCCAATGCAGCCACCTTGTAGGCAGACCATGGCAGGACTCGCTGGACGCTTCCCCAATGCAGCCACCTTGTAGGCAGACCATGACAGGACTCGTTGGCACCAAGGATTGATGGTAATATCTAAAGTGTAGGTGTGGCCCTCTTCTCCTTGCAGATGTCAGTGGGAGCTCTATCTAGAATCACCATAATAGAGTTCTGTAAGCAGAAAGAAAAACGGATAAATGAGTTTTCCCTACCTATGTCAGCCCTCTGCAGTCTGCTTCCTGGACCTGTAATAAGAAGAAACCTGGAACGCGTGGGAATAATGCAATGACACTACAACAATAGAGCCTAGACCAGCAGAAAGCCGATGATGTATCCTGCGAAGATTCCTGAGCGACGATTCCTCGTGCGGAGAAGCGAAGGTTTTAGCTGGCCAGCTTAGAGAAACGTCGAATCCACCGTCCAGACGTCTGCGTGTGCAAGAATCATAATGTCGATGAACGATGCGTTGACGAATGATGAGGGAAAGCTTCGGAAAAATGCGAGTTAACTCCCGTGTCCTTTTTGCTTGATATGGGACGCAGCACATGTCATCCTTTCTGTTGCTCTACATCTGCCCGCTGTTGAATGAACGCACTTTCAAAATTCCGCGCTTTTATACCTTCAGTGATACATAGTCACATGGTGGCGTTCCTGTTGTCACCAATGGTCAACTTGTTCGAAGGGGATGGCGTTTGATAGAGGTGCGCTAATTTGATTATAATATCTTATTAACACATACATGTTATTTTCTATTTTAATTATTCTGTTTATCATTTTATTTTATAATAAGAGTAATAAGTACTAAGCAATGACTTCGAAATGTACAGTCAAATTTGATGACAATTTCTGAAAAACATATACATGTTCCTTTTCCCCAAAATTGTGATAGGCACGATGTAAGTTAAACTGGTAGCTGTGAACTTCTCGCTGGCCACTATCGTGAGCGCGTATTTGAACACTTATCCAAAATGTGGATTATGTAATAGGGCGTAGGATGACTGCATTTTTAGGCAGCCTGAAGGGGCATGGTTGTTTTTTTTTTTTTCACTGTGGTGAATTTCAGTGAGTCAATTGAAAACACACTGGACTTAACATGTACAGCCACCTCAGTACTCTCAAACACATTGGAACCAACTGACTTGGTATTCTGAGAAATGAAAAACAAGTTATCGTGATTTAACGAATCGAAGGAAAGCAGTAGTGGGTCAAATGAAAAATCTTGATTAACTTATTCAAGCAGTTGAACGAATGAATATTTTTGTATATAAAACGTGTGCTGATGTAGGTCATAATAAGCATCAGACGCCTCCCTTCATGGCCGCGGGTTATCAGTGCTCTGATGCCAGTAGCACGAGTAGAGAAATTAAAGACGGATATAATCATAAATAAGAGAAAATATAAAAATCAAAATGAAAGTTTTCCCATTTATCCGTTTACTTCATCCCCTCAAACCTCAGCTGAGATCTACACTTATTAATAGGCGTTATACATATAACATCGTTATAAGTCTCAGTAGCCGCTGGCATCCTTTCACATCATCCTGGCGAGCATACAATCTTAGTGGCAAACAGGTTAATTGCCTATTATGTTATTGTTTCATGGCTATAGTCACTCAACAGCTCCATTTGTGTGTTTTCTCAGTGAGGTGGTCTTTGTCTCGACCTGGCTTGAAATTAAAACTCGGGTCTTGCCTAGTCTGCCCCGAGAATACTAACTGATTCTCAATATATAGATCCATTTTCCATTAAAAAACTCATAAAGACTTAACGAGAGAAAGAATTGTTTGTCCAAGTGAAAATTTAATTACATCAGTCTTAAACAACTTAAATCACGGCAAAAAAGAACTAGATCCATCTATTCTGACACAAAAAGCATAAACGGACTAAAATTTAAACCATCGTGACTGTTGCTCACAGCACCACCTCACATTCTCTGATCGATTTAGTTTATTTCTATCAGGAAGCGAGTATGATATCTAGCGTCACAGAAAATGTCTGTTTATGTTTGTTGTAAATAACGCAATAAATAGATTGCGGCTATGTTCGCGGTGTCACATGGCTTTTAAAAATTGAAGAAAAAAAACCGTGACGTCTTTTGTCGCAATTGTTTGGAGTTTTCGTATTATTTTAGCCATATAAAGAATCTTCAATTCAGTTACATTCATGATTAGCTAGACTATATGGTGACAGGACAGTCATTTGTTTTAGACGAAACACGACAAAACTTTTCTCATAGAAAGTAATTTGCAAAACCTTCGTAACCAGGCATTGTAAAAAAAAAAAAAAAATACTCGAGGTTGTGGACAAAATGTGTTAATAAAATAAATGTGCATCTCTCGCGGTCTGATTTTTGTTGGTATTTATATTATCCAAAAGAGTTGTTTTTTTTTTTTTTAAAAAAACCTTCTTTATTGAATACGAAAACTTGCCATGCAAACAAGGTGTGACTCGGAAATATTTGCATTATTATACAAAAAGCTAGATTTATCACTTTATGTCACTGTAGGTTTCAAAAAGGTAGAATTCGCGTCCCTCCCCACCCCCCGTCCCTCCCCACCCCCTCCTCCACATCACTTAACACTCCCTGTAGAAATACGTTTTACAATAAAACCCTACTATCAATGTCTAGGTAGTTCTACGCCACGCAATTTACTCATTTGCCTTTCATCACTCCCTTAAATCCCTCCCAATTTCCTTTCTTATAAGCAAATTAAGCCATTGTGTTAAAAGAGTTTGTGGCTTACAGATGAATAGTTTCCTTTCTTATAAGCAAATTAAGCCATTGTGTTAACAGAGTTTGTGGCTTATGCCACTGCGTAGGCAGGAAATAACTAACTGACATTTTGAGATAAAATATCTTGAAAATCATCTAGATTTATTCATATAAATTGTATTATGACTAATATCTGTCATATATCATATATTAAAATAATCGGTCAAAGTATGCAAGCTATTAAATTTCCCCAAACCAAGAACTAGATTTCCTTATTTAGCTCTATCAAACATCATAATAAATACATGGTCATGTCGTTTTTATTGTCCTACATGTATACCTAAATGCAATTGGAATTATTACATGTTCACCTATATAAAATAGTTATACAAAATTAAATGGCTGAATTTGTCACACTTGCATACATTGTTAACAGTGCAAAAGTTGACATTTTCATAAAGTACGTGCTACAAGAAAATCTCAAAATCACATGATGTGTTATCTAAAGTGTGTAATCAGTGCAACACTTTTCCATTTCTGGACAGTACTGATACAACAACCTACATGGTACTGAGGTCAAATGTACTTTAAAGCCTCAAACTAGCCTCTTTCACAATAAAACTTAATTTTCATCACTTAAACACAAAACTCTTAACCAGTAAAAGCATTTAGTCCATGTTACTTATCCAAAAGTCTTCTCTCTAAATAGGAACTAAAGTTTGTCAAATGGCAGACAGTTGATGTTGTCCAGTCACACAAAACAGAACAAGATAATCTGGATGCTCAGAGAGGTGAGGACCACCTCTACATTATGTACCACCAGCAAGGTACATGAGCCTGCTTGAAAGTAGGACTACCTCTTATTTTTGGAAGTGAATTTAGATGTGCAACAAGTAGTAACTGAATGTCAAATGGATATCAAGTATAGGAAAAAGACTTTTTGTTAAGTATACAAAAGCAGAAAAGCCCTTTAAACAGTTCAACTGACCCAAAAACCAGGGAAGTTTTAAGTGGCCCCACAAGGCAACAGGGATAATTTACCCTTTAAATAAATATGTTGATGTTCTAATACTCCCGTGGGATCCAATGCTCTGATGGGTGCAGAATGCTACTGACAACTGTCACAAATGCCACTATCTAGACCCCCAATATCTATATGTGGGCATATACTTACCCCCAAAGCATGATGGTTGTCCAAGCAAACAATATTTTATGAAAACCCTTAACCTTAATGACCTTTTATTTGTGCAAAGTTGTCAGCCCTCAAAATCTGGAGAGAAAATCAGTCAGACTCTTAAGCTCATGCAATCACATTTAATATAACATGTTGACATGCCCAGAAACCATACCAAATACAAATTATCACCCTGCTTCAAGTTAATGAAACAATCACCCATTTGAACAGTAAATTTATTGTCTGTTACAATAAAAGTGTATCATCTCAATTACCATTTACTAAGACGAGCATTTTTGCCATAATTAATTTCTATGCATTTCTGTTGTCATATCAATGTTCCTTCCAACAGACTTTGACAATATTACAATATAAAGATTTTGTTGCAAACATCTTAAAAAGAACAACATGTATATTTAAAGTACTGTCAGCTGAAATCTTACAAATTGTCAACTTTGCTAAATATATCTAGCATCTAATTTATGTACATAAAATAAGGTCCATTAAACCACTGTAGCCCAGGAAAAAAACTAATAAAAAGGTTTTTGTTTTGTTTAATTTATCCCCTATGTCACATTAGGGAATGAATATGACACAGTTGAAACTACAGAGTGAGCATAGGTTGTTAAGAAATGTCCAGAATTAATTGGCATGTGAATGAATCTTTGTGGTAGGCGGTGCCCCAAACAGCTGGTATGGAGTGTTACATAGGTGGCGCCTCAAACAGCTGGTATGGAGTGTTACATAGGTGGCGCCCCAAACAGCTGGTATGGAGTGTTACATAGGTGGCGCCCCAAACAGCTGCTGTGGAGTGTTACATAGGTGGCGCCCCAAACAGCTGGTGTGGAGTGTTACATAGGTGGCGCCCCAACAGCTGCTGTGGAGTGTTACATAGGTGGCGCCCCAAACAGCTGCTGTGGAGTGTTACATAGGTGGTGCCCCAAACAGCTGCTGTGGAGTGTTAAGGAGGCCGAGACGCTGTTTCTGTTTACGCTGTTCAGACATCTAAAAATTCCAAATTATAAAAAGAAACTTACTTATAATTGATCAAACACCAGGAAAATCAAACAAAAAAACACCTTAAAAAGCAAATAAATAACAATTACAGTTTTTGGAATCCATTAAAGAAAAGAACTTTGCCAGTCATGAGTGCTATATTCTATATGTTTCATTGATAAACAATTCTCATGTCTAGAAGTCTTGATATAACACAGTGAGCATTCAGATACAGACATCATACCAGCTGGATTGATCCAATTCTGCAGAGACTTTCACTAAAGTGCAATCAGTGTAATCAGCTTAAATGTCTGACACACTCCTGCAAGCAGCTGGGGGGGGGGATTTGACTTTTATTTGTGCTCGGCTAAAGTGACCCTAGCTGCCTGAGGGGAAGTATCAGACATTTAAGCTGATTACATTTTGTGAGAATCCCCTCAGGTTTAGACCTGATGGTACGATGTCTGAATCTGAATACTCTCAAGGTCTAACAGAAGACCCATAACGTTTCTATTTTATAAAAGAGCTACTGAATGTCACAAGTCAAACATATATACTATATAGAAAAGCCCCCCTAGGCATCCAAAACCCAGTCTGTATCCTAGTCAGTGTTCTTCCTACCTGGTCCTTGAGTTCCATCAGCTGCTGGGACAGGGTCAGCACCAGTTTATTGGTGTGTTCCAGCTGCACCTGGAGATTACGCAGCTCATTCTGCTCTCCCTCTCCCTCATCTGCCGCCAGAGACATGGCACGCATTCTTGGGAACCAGTCTAAATTTTTGTCCTGGAAAAACAAAAACAGTAGAAAATAATGATGGTACTGTGATAGAGCTGATGGTTCCCAACATAATGCTGCTGATACTATGATATGTGATAGAGACATATGATAGAGCTGATGGTTCAAAACATAATGCTGATGATACTATATTGACATGTGATAGAGACATATGATAGAGCTGATGGTTCTCAACATAATGCTGGTGATACTATATTGACATGTGATAGAGACATATGATAGAGCTGATGGTTCCCAACATAATGCTGGTGATACTATATTGACATGTGATAGAGACATATGA